TTGTCAGCAAGCCTGTTGTAGTGTCCTTGAGCAGGACACAAAGGACTACACACTTTAGCACATTTATCGCTTAATACAATAACTTTAAGGCTTTTTTCTCTGTAATCTGTTGCAGAAAGGTCTCACCTGCAAGCTATTAATTAGGACGGTCTTGTGCATTTATCTCTCATGTGATGTTAATAAATATGCGGCAGGTACTCTATTGACTGAGGAGAGATCATTACAAACAGCAACGATGCAAATTTGTCTTTGCCTTTTATTGCACAGAGAAGAGAAACTGCAGCTCCCAGCAGTCTGGCTCTTTTCAACTTTTCCTTCTTCATTTCCTCTTTTCCCTTCAATTTTGTTGCTTCTAAATTACATGTTCAAATCTTAAAATAATGAGAAAAAAAATGTTGTTGCTTTTCATCGTTCCCTGCCGCTGTGTCTCTGTCCCCGGTGGTCCTCCTGCAGCAGAGGTATGTGGTAATAATCATCCACCTACAGTTTGCTCATTAGCAGCGAGTCCTGCTCTCTGCATGAGCCTTTTCATGTTCCTCAGTACTAACAACAACCTGAAGGAACGCTCTCTATCCTCGTTGGGAATGCGACGGTGTGAAACAGTGTGCAGGAGTTGAATCAGGGACAGTGCCCGCAAACAGGAGGGGTTGCTCAGGAAAACCACATCTCAAATAAACCATTCTGCACACGCTTACAACAAATGTGGGAGCTGCTGGTTACGGCAAGGTTGTTGTTCATTTCTTGCTCTCTATGTGTGTTAGGCCTACGCAGATTTTTCTGAAGGTTGGTGCCTTAATGTGGCCATATTCATCCCTCAAAAATAACACAGGTTCCGTGTTTGTTGAAAACATAATTTCTCCTGTTTGAAGGGCTTTTACTGCTGTGGTGATGTTAATAACTGACGTTGAGCTGATGTTGATGTTTGTTGAATCTTTGGTGTGAGAGAAAAGTGCCTGAAACTAAATTTATAGTGTGGGATTCTCAATTTTGCTATTGTATTGCAAGAAAATATTTACGGAGACCAAAAGTAAAAAATAAAGAAGTAAAGAAAGAAAGAAATGTGAATAAATAATACAATTTTATTGATATATGTAAATGAATCAGAATTATTAACATTACTTTGGAGACCCAAAGTCTTCAGAATGAAATAAATTATTTTTTCAATCCACATGGTGAAATTTGCCAAATACATACAACTGTATGTAACCATGGAATTGTGAAATTATCCAAAACATTTTTAACTTAACTATGACACGTATCTCATCCCACCACGTATTTGATTGGCTGCTGCTTTGAGACGATCACATAGCTGCCAGACTTTGTGATGATAAGGGGTATTATGAAATAAAACATTGGGAAAAATTCCGTTGGGAAATAAAAACGGATATTTGGAAATAAAAGCTGGAATAAAATAATATGAAATAACATTTCATCATAAGCGTGTTTATGCATTGGATTTTTTTTCACAATTCCATGATAATATTTTTAATATATTCTCTGTAAATATTCATACACATGTATTTCATAAGGTCTCATTTATTTATCTGATTTTGAACACAGTGAATATCCACACTGCCAATGATAATGATAATAAAAATGTATTTACACTTAATTGCCTCCATAATTCGCACATTTGTACATAAATAGGAGGCTAAAATATCTTGGTGATTTTCATACAAACATACATCTGAATTATTATTATTTGTCAATAATTTACGGAAGAGAGTAAAAGTAAAAATGGGTGAAAAATGGAGCGGATGAGATTTTTACAGTTTCACAGTATTTCACAACTGTCAACTGACAACCATGTATCTCCATATTTGCTGATTTTTAAAAACGTTTTAGATGAAGGATTTCCTGCTCCTTTACGGATTGACAAAAGTCTCCTAATTCGAAAAAGCAATTTATCTGAAAAATCTAATATTACAAAGGCGAAAACCGGCCTATTTTTAATGAACTATGAAAAGCTTTGTGTGGTGTTCATAGGATGGCGATCTTTAATGTTTTTTTCAGTGTTTTCATTTCACTGTATAGGAAAATGTTTTACATCTGATACTTCAGTACTTACCGTGACGTGTGGTAGGAGCAACACAAAGAAAGAAGCTTTCCATTAGCTTGTGAGCTCCTAAACTCCATTCCTCCGTAAGCTGAGCTGAGCTACTTCCCTGCTGATTCCTTCCCTTTTATCAGCTCTAGGATAGAAAACAGTAGCAATCTGATTCTGTAATAATTACTGTGTCTCTCAAGCTGCATGATTCGATGTTTCACATGTTACTGAGGAAATATACAAACACGTCATGAGATATCAGAATATTAAGACTAGCTTTCCCTTTGTCTTGTTCCTTCCCCTTACCATACACACACACACATACATATGTGCAAACACACAAAGTGAAAGTTATAATGTGGACAGGACTGAATATGAACATGTATACAATCCAAAACCTCCCTGTGTCAGCGAGTCAGCTGTCTGGATACACATAAGATGAATTTGGCTGCAAACATGAAGAATGAACAAAAACAAAATGGCCGGCCATGGCCCCTGCTCGTATATCAAATATACATCATGTCTGTCTCTTGTATGTGTGTGTAGGTGTGTGTGTGTGTGTGTGTGTATATGTTGTCAAGTGGAGCCCTGCACGGTTGTTTGAGCAGTTATCTGTTCTTCCGCCAATTTAATTTGCATTCAATCCAAAGGTTATCTCCTCCATGTACATGTAATATTTGTAATTGCCCTCAAGTCAGACCGAAACTAAAGCAAAGAAGAGAAATTACATTTTCGGCACTATCATTTTTTAAATGCAATCAGTTATCATTTAGACGCCAAATATTTGCTTGGGCTTAATAACAACTTTGCCCCTAATCACTTCCAAAATAGATTAAAACCAGTAGTTACTCTTTTACCGAATGTTAACACATTTATAAGAAAAAAAATCTCATTTTGAGGAATGTTATATTCACAAACCTGGTGATTTTTTTCATGGAGTGAGAACGTCTTTCTACGGAATAGAAATCAATTGATTTATTCACAAAATGTTAAATAACTAAACAGAACCAACTATATTATTGGGTCTTCAAGCTGCACAGTTTTCATCTCATGACAGAACAAATAAAAAGAGTTTCGGGGAGGCCCACAAAACCTTTCAAAATCTTTGCTCACGGCTCTTTGTTTAGAGCCTGTAATTGTATAGTTCACACCAGTCAGACAATTCAAAGGGATCTGCAAGACAATTTGTGAATATATTCTGTAAAACATTTTCAATGGAATTAGTTTTTTCCTGTCTAATTGCTGTTTTAGGGGGATTTACAAACCTGACACACTGCATTTTCTTCATTTTAGGAAACAGACATTTAAAACTGGGAGGCATCATGGTGTCCAGGTGGCCGAGGCGGATGACATTTATATCCAATGTCCCGGTTTCATTCCAGCCGAAAAACTTTGATGCATGCCATATCCCTCTTTCTCTCCCCACGTTTTGTGTCTATCTCTGTTTTATCACCTTAATTAATTTTAACAAATAAGAAGATGATATCGATTTAAAAGATTTTGCTTAGGAGACAATATTTTGTTGTACTGATTTAGCTTTTACTTTATGAGATCGACTGTGTGATCAATAACATGGCAATTCCTCCTGCAGTTTAACATATTCAGACAGTCAAACAGACTCATAAAAGGTGGGACTTTTTATAAGGAACTCAAGATTTACTTTCACACCTGGATGTAGCCGGTGCAGGTATGCTTTTTTTCCAACGTGGAATAAAACACCTTGAACCAACTGCTTGAATTCAGTAAGCAGAGAGCAGGTGACAGGACAAAAATTTTGCGTATTAATTAGTTGAAGGCCAACGATAAGGACACTTGACGTAGACGTCAATAAGTGAAATAATGGTGCAAACAGAGGAGAAGGAAATACAGGATGTTAGTAGTGCATTGTAAATGTGGTGGTTATTCAGGCGACACACACAAGGACATCTTGACTGGGCCAACGGTCCCTGTCTGTCTGTCTGCATGGCGCTCCTTGCTTCCTGCTGTGTCTGACCTGAAGCGGCCCGACCCTCCCATCCCGACTTTACACAGCTTAATACAGGATAAGTGGCTGCCCTCACCTCTCCACTGCTGAGGTGATCCCACCTGAACCAAAGCACTGATCTCCCTCTCTCTCTCTCCCACTCACTATCTCTTCCTCTTCTTCTTCTGCTGCTTTTCCCTGCAGGGGTAAGCTGATTGTTGCCGTCAGCGTGAAGAAGGCCCTAACAGTGGAATCACTGCTGTCACTCAGCCTCCTGAGATTAGACCTATGTCAAGGACCCTGTCACACACACACACACACACACACACACACACATAAAGGAAGGTGTCAGGGGACTTTGTAGTGTGTGTGTGTGGCATTAGTTGAACAAGTGACAACAGTTTTCCGTCTCGTGGTGGAAAGATGAAGGACGGGAGGACAGAAGTAAACACACCCAGGCTGGGCTTAGGGAGCAAAGTGTGCTGTGTGTGAAAAGAAAGCACACACAAACACATTGAAAGACACACACATCGTTCAGGAAGCTCAAAAGGAAATACACAAGTGAGATCCAGAACGATGTTCTCCTCAGATCCCGTAAAGGATGGAACCAGCGTAGACACACGCTCTCACGTCACCGCCAACCCCACAGCAGACACATGCGCTGTTACTGCTGCTGACACGCAACCCGGGCAAACACGAGCAATGTCAAAATGAGTTCACACACACACATGGACAGTCACAGACGTCACCCAGATTTCCTTGAGTTGCAGTGCAGAGCAAACTTTGATGTCATGCCTCGGGTTATGATACACAAACGCACCATCTAAGTGTGTGTGTGTCATTCGTGGGTCATGTTGGCTCGTTGTCAGTGTGTTTTCCAGGAGCTCCACACGTTTGAAGTTAATCCCCGCTGTCAGAGAATATGCATTGTTTAACTCCGTCTATTCTAATGAGCGCGCGCACACACACACACACACACACACACCTTACCTTCGTTGCTGTTAGTTCCTGCGGTTCCCAGAGCCTGTAGTGATATAGTCCATAGCAGCATCGCAGCCAGCCCCGGATCTGAAGCCATGGTGTTCTCCCTCACACCCCGCCAGTCTCCCTCTGCCTCTCTCTCCCTCACTCCTCTCTTACTCCCTCACCCTCACTCTCCCTCTCTGCCACTCGTTGCCTCTCTCTCCTCTCCTTCTTCTTCTTCTTCTGTGTCCCAGGGTTGAAGCAAGAGCGAGAGCCGGCTCTGAGGAGAGTGTGAGTGTGTGTGTGAGGAGTGTGTGTGAGGGCTGCGAGCTCATTGGGTTGGAGTTAGAGCCTGCCTCTGTGGCTCGCTTCAGTCTGCCGGCTCCCTCACACACACACATACATACATACACTTTCGGCAGGCAGCCGGAGGGGGGAGGGACGAGTGCGTCTGTCAAAGACTCACCAGCCAATTAGAGCGCAGGATTGGCCGGCGCTGCACACTAAATGCTTTCTCCGTTGCCACACCCTCCTGTCCTACCTGCCTGGCCAACTCTCACTTTCTGTTTATCTCTCTGGGTCACGAGCTGGCACACTGCATCCCTCTCTCTCTCTCTCTCTCTCTGTTATTTACCCTCATTTGTCATTGGCTCGCTTCGCCCACACACACTCTCACCTACCCAGTGGCAAATATCTGACTGATGGGATGAACTGAAAACAGCAGCATGTCTGCGAGGCTCAAGGACAATGATCGGGTATCGATCTTCTGTGTTGTATTCATAAAGCTATTATCTACAGTATGTCCAGGTGCAGCAGAGAGTCCTCACATGATGTGTTGGTGTGTGTGTGTGTGTGTGTGTGTGTCTGTCTGTTATTCAAGGACTTTGATTGATTCATGTGAGGGTGGGGACCCGTGCCAGATCACAGCACCTGTCCTGATCAATTGGTTTTTCGCCGTTGTCACGCTGCAAAAGAGACACGCGCACACACACACACACACACACACACCTTCCTCCGCACACTGCTGCGAAGTCACCTGACCGTGTTGAAGTGAAATCATTACACACAGTTGATAAAGCTGATAGGAAAAGATTTTTAGTCAATGTTACCTAAATCTGATGTAAAACTAATAATTCTGCGTACAGTTGACTAAACAATCTCACCTCAAGCTCCATCTGGTCGCTGCTCCTGTCCTCCAGATGGAAATCATGTGACATGATCCACAGCTACTACATGGACCTTGCTGAGGTTTGTTTTATTTGTTTTTTCTGATGTTGTTTCCAAGGTCATCAACAAACTGTGATGCTCCACAATAATATTCTTTCATTTATTATTACCACTCTTGTTACAGTATTATTTGTAGTAATACTAATACTTTACTTAGATTGTTTTACAAATAATAGTATTACAATAATACTCATATTAATAATGTGTAAAATGTTTACAACACTACAACCACCACTACTACCATTACTACTAATAATATAAATAATATACTGTAAGTCAAAATAATGCTAATAATTAAATTTGTGCTTAGTTTAAAGAACTACTACAATTACTAATAAAAATAACGTTAATGTTATTAATGCTAATAATACAACAGCTAATAATAATAATAGTGTTATTAGTATTTATATGGCACTGTTACTATAACTTCCGCCAATACCCTACCTGATATTAATACTAATACTATTTTGTTTGATACACACAACTACTAATAATAATACTACTACTACTGATAATAATAATAATAATAATAATATAATAATAATAATAATAATTTACTGTACTGTTAAAGGTTTTAAATAATTTGGCTTTGTGAATAAAAATGAATGTTCTTTTATAGTTTGTATAGTGTTTACCAACACACCCCTGCATACCGTGGCTAGCCGCTTCCTCCAGTTGTAACTGTGGTCTAATATGTACAGGGTGAGTGCCCTACTCAGAGGTCTGCCAGCACTGCTGCCGTGCTGAGTTTTTGAACTGAACTGTACGCCCTGCAAGCCCCGGGACATGGCAGCACAACGCTGTCACTGCTCAGCTGCCATCACGACAAGGCTGCTGCTGCTGAAGCATCACGGCTGGGACCGCTTGATTCGCCTCGCACACACACACAAGAAGAAGAGAAAGAGTTCTACTGATCTGAAATTTTTAAGACTATAAATGAGGAATGTCCCTGAATATCGAGTGTGAACATACATGCAGCTGGGCTGCTCAGTGAGGAAGATGGAGGGTTAGTGTCCAGGCCAATTTGAAGCAGTGCTGTGTCTGCCAAACCCGTCCCCCCCCCCCCCAGGCCTGGAGACACAAGGGTTTCTGTGTGAGTTTACAATGCTTCCTCCACAGCATGTATAGGGGAGCCTTGTGCCTACGTGCAATGTCTTGATAAAGGGTGGAGCAAGCAAGACACACACATAGCCACACAAAAGTGCAGAGGGTTACTCGTCATACTCGGGCAGACGTTGTTATTCTCCGTAGCTGTGTTGTCCCTGATCTGCAGTGTGTGTTCATGTGTGAGGCTCCGTTGCTTTACCACTAGGCTGCACTGTCAGTCTGCCTGTCTAATAGGCTGCACGCCTGTGAGGACAACAACACTGTCATCTCCTCCGACACTCCGATCTTTCAAGTGCAGAGGAGAGAACGCTCTCTGAACCCTTAAACACAACCCAAAAATCACTGATTTCTGTCAATGGACAGGGGATTTGTAGAAGAAAGGGATGCTTTGTAAGGAGCAGCCTGACAAAAATAGTTCAAACAAAGAGAAATTAAATCTATATTGCTCTTATTACTAGTTCTATGTAGTAAGGACTTTCCATTGAGATGTAAAGCCTGGAGCTGCTCGCCATAAAACATAGATACAAAATGTTTGGTGTGTGTTTTTCCACACAAGCATGATCACTGTTATTGTAATACATTGAGCCACAAATTAGATCTGTATCCCCAGAAAATCGCACTGGCTGCCGTGTCACCTTTTGCATCTCTGATAATTGATTTTCCTCGCAAAGACACATCAGTGTGACATCTCAGTTAAGGCAGCAGTGTCAAGTCTTTCCTCATTTCTGGCAATGGGAAGTGGTAGAAAATGCCCACAGCAAAACTAAAAAGTCCAGGACTATGTGACTAACAGTACGCAGATGAATTATAAGAGTGTGACTCAGAATATGAACATGAATATAAATGTGAACACAAAGAGGAGTAATGCTAATACTGTAGGGTCATTTTGTCCTTTTAACCATAATTGAAGCAGTGTGAGGACAGAAATGTGTGATAGATGCTATTACACACACACACACACACACACACACATACAAATACAAAGAGGAAAGCTCATGAAAACCACTCCTGTCCTCACAATGAATCCTTGTTGTGTTCTCATAAAGTAGATGCACCCGCCATAATGACAACATTTATTAACAACTCTATCACAACAAAGTGGGGAGTCCCCAGCATATGTGTGTGTGTGTCCATCTGGGTTTACCTGGGGGGGTCTGCGGGCAGCAGTTGGCATTAAAACCTTAAGGTATGCGTCTATATGCATGACTTTGTGTGTGTGTGTGTGTGTGTGTGTGTGTGTGTGTGTGTGTGTGAGCGAACAGATGGTGGGGGTCAGTGCGTGCCTACTGTTGTGGGGCTTGTTGGTGTGTGTTGGCTAAATATAGCGCAGTGGTGACAGAGCTGCTCAGAGCACAGCCACGGACTCTCGCTTTAATTCTTTGATCAGTTCAGCTTCGTTCATTTCACCTCAGTGTATGCAAGTGACTTCTAGCAAGTGAATTTATTTCGGGTAAATTCATTTCAACTATAAACTAAATTATAGTGAACTGTTATCATCACCAATCAAAATATTCATTTTTATCAGGAAAGCTTTTTTCGTCTTTAAGGCTATATTAGAGACAGGCCTTCATTTTAAATTTCCCCTGCTAACGTAAACCTAATCAAACCTTAACCATAGTGTTGGCACATTATAAAATGATTTTATTTCTAACTTCTTCTGAACTTCTCCTTGGGATTTTACGACATCCAATAAGTTGTTGACCCAATCCAATATGTTGTATTTAGGACTGAAGGAGGTTTACCCTGTTTCTCCAAAGGTTTGGGTAAACAGAGTTGAGATTGATTCAAGCTTCATCTTCCCTGCTGTTTTTTCATTCTGTGAAATGATCGTTATTGACTCTCAATATTCCTCACACAGGTATATCACATTAAATGCCTTTCCCTGGCTCAGCAGACATAATTCCTTCTTTTTCGGGGAGGTTTTTAACGTGAAGCAGGAAGGGTTGTGCATCATTCGTGTAACTTAACAGCGATCAAAAGAAATGCAATTAAATGGTGAGTGAAAACAGTACCTCTGTTAAAAAGACAAATTCGGCGCGTGAGATGAAATTACCATGTGAGCAATTACAGCACAGGCTTCCTCTCATCTGGATGGGTTGTTTGATCAGACTCAGCACCAGTAAGGCTTAGTGAGACCACTCCACCGTCCACCCAAATGTCTTGACACATTCTGCTGCTTTAAGATAATCATTTTCACCTCCTCCTCTCTCAGGCTCACAGCAACAGAGAAACACTCAGAATCTGAAACTATTAAGATCTCCTGCATAGACCTTTTTACATCTTCTCATCTGTTTTGCTTGTCAACCCCCAATTGTCTGCGACCCCCTCCAACACAGAGGTCAATGAACTCTTCTCACTGGGTGCTGCAGCTTACACAGCTCAGGGTCAGAGGTGCTGCACTCAACAGGTAGCCTCACAGAGGAGCTAGGTGACCAAGCGTGAGTCATGACAGGCTGCAGAAAATGAGGGTAAAATATACAACAACTGATGGGAAAACTTTGGAACACAAAACATAACATAAGAAAAAGGTGTCATAAATACATAAATCCCAGTACATATGAACCATGCACAAACCATACACAGCATCTGTTTTGGAGTATATCAAGATCTTAACATACACGTTAGTGGTGGGGGGTGGTGGTAGTGGTGGGGGTGGTGGTAGTGGTGGGGGTGGTGGTGGTGGTGGTGGTGGTGGTGGGGGGGGGTACCGGCCTCACAGTATGGTGTTTTTGTTTGTTTGTTTTCTTTTTTCTTGAGCTGCCGTGGTCTCATTCTAAGGTACCGCACCATCCCAACCTACCAACATCCACCAAAGCCAGTTTTTATCTCACAATCAAATTGGACTGATTTTTTGCACATCTGCTGTAACAACACACCCACTCTGTACAGTGTGTCTGTGCACTGTTGTGAATTAGGGTTTAAATGGCATCAATATTTTTATTAAATAATATAATGATTATTGTTACTATTAGTTAATAATTAGTAATAAAATATAACTTAAAGTTAAATTCCCCTCACGGCACCACTCTTGAACAAGAGAA